AAAATGTTAGGCATTAAGCAAATTTAGGAAGCAAGTACAGCTACATGTGAGGATCTGAGGGCTGATTTGAGCTGACTACGAGAGGGCATGTAGGTCATCTGTTAAGCAGAGGTCCTCCTGCGATATATTATCAAGCTAGTGTTCTGGATCACGACACAGCCATTAGACCAGGTAAGCCCCAGAACACTTGGCAGCTTCAAATTCAGCTTTGAAGTAAATTCATCTTTGCACTGAGTAAAGTCTTGACTTGCAGCTACCCCTGCAAAATCCCTTTCTGGGCTGTGTTCATTGTGGCCTGCTATGCATTTGGTGTTGAGCAAGATACCTGCTGACGAGAATCAAACATGTGGGGCTTCCGCACACCTCAAGGGAAAGCGGGGTTTGCTTATCCTCTGCCACACTGAGAGGTGTCTAGGTCTCTTGCTCCCCTTTGGTAACACATTTAGGCTGTTCCTATCCGCAGTGTGAGCATGTTCTTGGGGGAACTCTCCGTCCTGCCACAGTAGAAAGTTACACTAAACAGTGCTTTTTGGCTTCCCACACAGGGAAACAATGAGATATGATGGGAAGGGAATAAACAGACTTTGGAATTTGAAATCCAGCCTCTCCACCAACTGGCTTCATGTGGCCTTGACAAGTGGCTTAATGTTGCCAAGCATGATATTTGCTGTTTCTCAAATGAAGATTAAAGTGTCAGCCTCACAGGGATGTTGGCGTGATTGGATGAACCCTGAATATGAACAGGGTAAGTGCCCAGTGAATGGCAAGCAGTGCTAGGGCTGCCTGCTACTCCTGGAGACCTCGCTCGGTTCAAGCACGCATTCATGTATGTTGTACCTACATTACCAACAGTACGTACATGCTAGGGCACCCCTAGCATGTCTTGGTAGCAAAATGCCCCCAAATGTCCTGATAGCCAAGAACATTTTGTCTTGGCTCACTCTGGCCAAACAGCTTTGCCTTGTTTTCAACACGTTTCAGCAGAGTGGTATCTGCTCCCCACTCCCTTTTTTAAACAGTGCACTTGAACTAGTGGCTCTTAATCTCTTTTTAGTCACAAATACCCTATTTTTGTCCTAGAAAACTCCATCTATGCCCAAATGCATAAAATTTTGCATCAATTTTATCGGGTGCAATGACCACCTGAATACATCTTGTGCCCGCCCTCCATGATGCCCATGGCTCCTGTTAAAGGGGCCTCCTCTAAACCAAGAATCGGGAGATGGCTTATGAACATGTGGGCTCCTCAGGGTTGCCATCTGGGCAGCAGTGTCTATCCTGCAACGCAAGCCTCACTCTGACATTCTGGTGCCAGGCTCTCTGTAGAGAGGAAGCAAAGGAAGTAAGTTCATATATCGATGAAAAGTTCGCAGTCGAAAGGGAAAAGTTTTACCTGGACCGGGGCAAAGGCTTATAAAATGTCAAAGAAATAAAATAACAGTTAAATTAACTTTAGTTAATACTCAAAAAAGTCAACCCCAGAAGTTCATTGTCCCAGCAAAGTTCCCTGAAGAACATATTTTCTCACATTTTCTAAGGGATATAGAAGGCACAGACGTTTCTAATAAAAGGGATTCCCAGGTGGCCGGTTGGCTCAGTTGGGTAGAGCACAGTGCTCATAGCACCAAGGTTGCTGGTTCGATTTCTACATGGGCCAGTAAGCTGTGCCCTCCACAACTAGATTGAAGACAACTACATGACTTGGAGCTGATTGGTCTGGGAAAAAACACACTGTTCCCCAATAAAATATTTTTAAAAAGGCATCCCCATATCAAGGAAACAACAGTTTACCTGGCATTTGAGATCCACAAGGTATTACGGGGAATTAGCTAGCTTCATTAAGGAGATAGAACCAAGGCAACATCTGGTTTTGGAAGAGCAATGGTCCTTCTTTGGGTCGGCCACATCAGCCACGGCTACCAATCTGCTAGCAAAAAGGTATGGCTACTCTCGAGGCATAAAGGAAATAGCAATGGCTCCCAGGGAAACTGGGCAGCAAACCTGAAACAGACAAGCTAGGCTTTTTTGTTTCTCACAGAGGACACTAGCTAAAATGGGTGAATTTGGGTCTTAAGAGTCAGACAGATTTAACTTGAATCCTAC